TAAAAATCTTAGGAACTCTTAAACTGTTGTGTGATACAGTCCAACTTTTATGTTAAAACATCTGTGCAGCACAACCCCTGCACATCTGTTTCTAACCTCTTCCCTGCATGTTGCTGTTGAGGTGTCCAGACATTGTCACCATACAGGATAGGATTCTGCCAGTTAGTGATGTTGCTAAAATTAAAAATAGCTATATTAAATAGCTTTAATCTGTAAAACAAATAATAGCCTGCACAACTGAAGGTAACTTTTTGTCATGGGAACTGGAAGGTCATTCCAGCCTTGGTATGTTTTCTTTTTATTTAGTTTCGATATCTGAACCTGACTTTCTCTTTTTTTGACTTGTGGTTTATAATTCTGAAGAGATTTTTATAATGCCTTTGAGAAGGTGGCTATTTAGAAATAAGCTTTATTGTTTTCTGGGATTGAGGTTTGAGTATTTGAAGTAAACATTTGTGTTTCACTACTGGAAAAATATACATATATTTATATATAGATATATATCCTGTATGCAAGCAGAATATTCCTCATTGACTTAATTGGCTGTATATCAGTATTACTTTCCTAGCTGATAAGTGTTTATTTGACATCTTGAATACTTGTTTTAAAGGATCTTACTGTCTTTTTTCTAATGTTCTTTCATACAGTGTCAAACTGCAGAACTTAAAACTGTGATGGAGGAGGACAAACAGAAGGCTGTTCAAGTTGAACTTCTGAAAAAGGAAAATGGAAAACTCATTTCTCAGCTGACAGCCCAGGAATCTGTGATTGATGGGTTAAAAATGGAAAGAAAAATATGGGGGCAAGAGTTGGCACAACAGGGTAATTTTTTTATTATTTTTTTTTCCAGAAAAAATGGTGGAATATAGTGTATTCATTGCAGGGTCTCTGGATGCTTTGTTGATCTTAGCCAATTGTAAAGATGATTTGCAAAAATAGATTTCTTATATTGTTATATGCAGGCCATTATAGGAACTATAACAGCAGCTGTGGGAGTCAGCTGTTAAATACAGTTTTATCTGTTTTGCCAACATGTCAAAGTACCATAATGTTATGCAAAGAATTTTAAATATGAATCTAGGGAAACAAGGATTTGTAAACAGTGTTAGGTACTGCTATTTCTCTATCAGATAAGTCTGATGTGAAAATTTTAGTAGGTATCTTGAGAGGAAAAAAAAAGAAGTTAAATACCGGCTGAAAAAAGCTGGAGCTTTTTAAATTTTTCCCTGATTCATACGACTCAGCATCAGCTAGTGGGTTCTTTGAGATTGGCTTGGTCTGTAAGAATTACTGTTGACTTTTCTGATAGAAGTTTTCAAAAGATATAATACAGAAATACAGGCCTTCATTTCTACATTTTCTCTGAAGTGTTACCTACCTAAACAGTCATGTTTAGTTTCTAAGGTGTTTCTTTCCTCCCACTCCCCCCCTAACATTATACGCCTTGAAGCCATTTGTAAAATGAGTGCTGTATTGTGACTATCCTGTTTTATTCAGGAGCTCATCTTGCTCAAGATCGGGGAAAACTGGAGGCAAAAATTGAAGTTTTAACAAGTGAGACTGAGATGTTAAAAAAGCAAAAGGAACAGGACAGTGATACTATAAAAATTAAAAACAAAATAGTGGATGATCAGACAGAAACAATTAGGAGATTAAAAGAAGTAAGTGCCATGTCTGAAAGTTTGTGTGCTTACAGTGAAAGTTGTTGTAAAAGCAGAAATGAAAGCAGTGAAAGCTGGCTCTGCACTCCTAGTTTCACCAGCTTGGAAAACACAATCAGGCTATCAGTGGCAACTGATTTTTAAGGAGAGCAGAAAAGAGCCTTGTGACAACTTGATGTACAGAGATGCCACTTCAGTTCTCTCATTGAAGCATATTTATGTGAAGACTTGATTTTCCTTGCTTTACCTCAAGTTATTCTTGGTAATGACTTTAAGAGAGGAAGAACAGTTTATGTTTATTTTACAATGTGAATACTCTTTACTCTGTTCTTGTAAATCAGTATTTTAATAGCAGACCTACTATGTTTCATACTATTAATTCCATTCATCCCATTAAGACTTAAGACTTTAGCTTATTAATCAGAGCAAAGTTTTATAATATGTCAGTCAAGGTTAGATGCATTACTCATTGAACTGCATAGTCAGAATGTGAGCTCAGTGCTTTGTGTTTGTAGAGTAAGTTGTTGTATTACGTTTCTAAACCTTTTTCTTAACTTGCTTTCCATTTCAAATGTATGTTTTGGTGATTTATTTTTTGTACTTCTGACTTTTTTCAGATTCTTTAACTGTCTGACTTTATTAAGTATTTTTCGTAAAATAATATGTTTACTCTTCTAAACTTTTACATACCTGTCTCATCTTCATTCCAGCATACACTAACCAGATACTCTTTAGGGGTAACAGTAAGTTTCACTTGAAGGGAGTTTCTGTGTTCTAAAATACTTCTCTTCTAAAGGGCTTACAAGAAAAAGATAAACAAATCAGAAAGCAGCATGAAGAACATCGGGAAGCTCAGAAACTTTTACAGCTACAGTTGGACGAAAAAGTTGGTGAACTTGAAGAGCTGATGGAAAAATTAGAAAGGCAAAATCAAAGAAAAGAGGAATTAAAGCAGCTGCTAGAAGAAAAAGAAGTAGAACTTGATGACATTAAGAATGCACACAGGTGATGCATAAGTGACAGTAATTCCTTAGGATAATAATACTATGCCACACTGCTGTGAAGTTGTTTTATGTTCAGAGAGTATGGAAAAATTGAAACTTTTTCCACTCTCCTAAGGAGTGGTATCTACTACATTCATTGTAAATGTGTGTTTTCTTTTCAGTGCACTGAAAAAGAAGTGGCAAGGTAAAGGAGATGTATTAAGCCAGCTGGAGGTGCAAGTAAAACAAATGAAGGAGAATTTTGATAGGAAAGAGAAGAAGCTGATTGAAGAGAGAAATAAGTGTCTTCAAACTCAGAGGTGAAAACCTTAATAGCTTATTTTGTGGCTGTTCAGGCACTCTAGAGTTGTACTGTTAATAAGTATACAAAAATGTTTGATTATATGGTAAAAGAATGGATGAAACCTTTTTAAGTAGTTGGTGAGCCCAGCAGCTGCAAGCTCTTTGTGCATAGAAGTAATTTTGGGGCTGGCCACTTGGGAGGAATATAGGACTGTTGTCGAGAGGATGTAGGGAGGCAGTAAGGAAAGCTAAGGCCTCCTTGGAACTAAACCTTGCTAGTGAGGTCAAAGTAATTGAATAGTGGAATCATTTGCTTTGCTTTCCATTGCTACATATTTCAGAATTATCCCCTGAAAGCAGAATGTGACTGAAGTCAAGCAAATGCTTCACTGCTGTGAAACAGACACTTGTGTTTCTGTGAGACACAGGCTTACAGGCTGTTTGCAGGATTGCATAGTTCAGGCAGTGACTTCTCAGAAAGGAAAAGCATGATAAGGAGATGTTTGAAAACAGGTGGCATTGTTAGCTGTGTTGACAGTAGCAAAGCTGAATCTTTGTATTCTTTGCTAGTGATTAAATGCTTCTGCTAAGAGAAATGTCAGAAGCCCTAAACATGATGCATAAAACTAGAACACGTACTTGAGAAAACAGGAGATCTTCTGAAGCTAGATGTGGAAATAATTGTCTTTGTGCTTGTATTTTTAAAACCTTACCACAGGCAGAACTGGGCAAAGCAAAATACTTCAGTTGTTTGCAGGAGTGTGATTTATTTTTTATTATTTTTTAGGATTGCTGTGGAAAAGCTTCATGAAATGGATGATGCTTTTAGAAAACAATTGGAGTCCATGTTAGCAGCTCATCAGGAAGAACTATTTCAACTGACAGCTGAAAAGGAAAAACAAATTGAAGTAGCAAATGAAAAAGTAATTTTAATTCTAAATTTATGTTCACTGTATTTGCATTCTAATTCTACAGCTACTACAATAGGGGTGCTTGGAAGTCACCCATTTATATCTGGCTAATCTCTTGATTATGTCTCTTGACATCCTGCTCAGGGAGAATGAGATGGGCTGAGGGTCTGGGAGAGCTGCACTGGTACATCTGATTGCTCTGCTCTCAACCATGTTCAGTTTCTCCTCAGGAGAACATCTGTGTGTGATGGTCCTGCAGCTGAAAGAGGTGCCAGCTCAGGGCAGCTGAGAGCAGGACTGATGGACAGACCAGCTGTCCTCACTCTGCACTAATGGACACTCCTGCTTCTCAGCACCTTCAAGGTTTCTCTTGGAGAGCAGTGGAAAGGCCAAGGCCAATGTGTGGTGGGGAAACTAGAGCACTGGTTTAGTATTCAATCTTTCAATTACGTCTAGAACTGTACCATTGTGAGGTTCTCTATTCAAGCAAAGTAAATTCCCATGCCACATAGCTGTTACAAGTCTATAACTAAACATTCCTTACCTATACAGGTAAGAATAATGTTGATTATGGCAGACAATTCACCTGTGCCAGTGTTAAGAGTTACTGTTTCTGTATCCAAAGTGTGATAACTGGTGCTTTTTCTGCACAGTAGGTATTTTGGGTCTGATACATAACTAGCTCCCAGCACACTGCATCCTGTTGCTTAGTTAAGCATAAGCATATAACTCATGCATTGCTTATCAGCATTAAAAATTGCCAGGATATTACATTTTTAGGTATACTAAGAAAAAGCAATAATTGTATTTGGTCTCTGTGTTCTTTCAGGTTTACTGTGTTGAAGAGGAAATGCGGCAGCTTCTACAGGAAATGGCAAACAATAAAAAAGCCATGGAAAATAAAATAAGGCGACTTACACATGCACTGAATGATATTCAGCAAGATCTTTGATTATTTGCACTAAAAAGTGTATTACGGAAACTTGAGCAAACAGATACACTACAATGCACTTTTTTCCTTGTTTTTTAGATAATAAACTTTGTGATATATTTTTACAGCTCAGGAATCAGGCTTAAATTTTTGCACTGTAATTTCATAAAAATTGCAAGGGTTAATAATAGCTATTAACTTTTTTGTCAAAATGAGACAAAATGCACCTCTAGATGACAAGGATGATAGGAAGTTAGGAGTTGGTGTGTTTAGCAAAGAGAAAAGAAGGTACAAGTAAAGACCCAAAGACAAGAGCTGGAAACTTCCCTCTGTTTGAATAAAGGCTATTGTAATGAGATGTCCAAGAATTAACCTGAGAATAGAATCATAGAATGCAAGGTTAGAATGAACCTCAAGGATTATATGGTCCAACCTTTCTAAGTAGGAACATGGTTTACGTAGAGACAGCCCAGCACCCTGTCAGGCTGAGTCTTACAAATGTCCAGTGTTAGGGAACCTACCACTTCCCTGGGGAGATTATTCCAATGTCCAGCTATTCTCATAGTGAAAATTTTTCTTCTGGTATCAAATCAGGATCTCAGCAGGAGTAACTTGCACCCATTACTCCCCATCTTTTCTATGTGACTCTTTGTAAAAAGGGAGTCTCCATCTTCTTGGTAGCCACCCTTTAAGGACTGGAACATGGCAATAAGATCTCCCCTAAGCCTTCTTTTCTCAAGGCTGAACAGACCTGGTTCTCTCAGCTTTCCCAGGCTTCCCAGTCCTTTGATCATCTTTGTGGCCTTTCAGTGGACCCTCTCCAGCCTCTCCGTATCATCTTTTTTGTATAGTGGGGACCAGAACTGAGCACAGCATTCCAGGTGTGGTCTGACAAGTGCCGAGTAGAGTGGGATGATGACTTCTTTATCTCTGTTAGTAAAGCCCTTGTTGATGCAACCCAACATCCTTTTGACCTCCTTTGCCACAGCAGCACACTGTTCACCCATATTGAGCCTGTTGTCCACTGGGATCCCCAGGTCCCTTTGCACAGGGCTACTCTCCAGCCATGTGGATTGTGTGTGATGTACTCAAGTTTTCACAGGTGCAAGATCTTGTCCCTCTTGAATTTAGTAAGGTTCTACTTCCCCAGTCAACTCATCTGCCACTGCTGATAAGGAATTAATTACTCCTGAAACATAAAGGGACATATTTTTGTTCTCTATAGCAATAGGCTTCCTACTAGGCTTTTGAAAAATTGGAGCTAATTAACAGCTTATTATGGAAGCTAATTTTAAGCCTTATGATTGTTCTACCTCTTTCAAGATGGAGACTTGACCATCTCTACTGCACTCAGGTATTTATTTCATTTGCTTGTTCTTGGAAGATCCTAAACTGTTACTGTGCTACACTGTACTGTGAAGTGTTTAATACTGCAGCTGTTAAGATCAGTTATGTGGTGGTACACCAGGTGGAGCTATTTTTTCCCACCTTGTACCTCGTAGGAGCTAAAGCAGAGCCCTGGTGCTCCAATAGCGGTAGGAGCTGCTGAGTGAGCTTGCTCAGAACCCAGGCACAGGCAGGCAATGCGGTATGACTTTGCCTTTCGGTGCCCAGCAGCCCAGTGAAAGCACTAGTGCTAGTAAAAGGCCCTGGCTAATGGTGCCAGGTCTTCTCAGCTTGTTATCACCTTGTTACAACAACTTGCTATGTAAGCCAGAGCTTGATAGCAGCTGTCTCATGTTACAAAGTGCCGTTTAAGTGAGGGATGTAACAGGGATCTCAAAAACATGGGTACTAGTTGAAAGCAGAGGCCATGGCACTAAGAACAACTAATGGTCAGTGACTGCTCCTTGAGAAAGCACAACCTTGAGAGGTGGGACCAAGCTGCTTTTACTTTAAGAAAGGAAGTAGCAGAGAAGCAAAACAAAAAAACATAACAATTTAAAAAAACCAACAACAACAAACACCAACACACCCAAATCCACAACAAACCAAATAAACAAACAAAAAAAGCAGCCCAACAACTGAACAAGGCATCTGCAGTGGCCTAGGAAAAAACAACTTTGCACAGTAATGTCTAAAGGTGGAGGGGAAGGGCTGCCAATTGCCTAGAGGTTGCATAATTTTCTAAAAAGCTAAGATCCCATATTTGTGGGAGGGGACAAAAAACAGACACCTGCTCCAATGATGGCTCCCTGCATCTAGAGTTCCTGCACCTGGCCCAGGATGCATCGAAGGAATGGACCCATAAGCACTAGCAAGGAGGCATCTGCCATAAGGTACTGACTGTATCCTCCCAGCTACGGGGGCTATAGCTGTGACAGACTGACTGCTCTGAATCCGTGCTAGCTGTTGATAAGGTGTAAAAATCAATACATAGTTGTAACAGGGAGGTGTAAGAATGAACTCTTAACAAAATTGGATTAATGAACATAAATTTAGTTGTTTTTTTCCTGTAAAGCTTAAAGTTAGCATAATTTATTTATCTACTGGCATACCAGTGATCTCTTGATCACCTGATACAAATATATTAATGTTATCTAAATGCAAAAGAAAGTTACTTCTCATTCTTACTTTGTGCTCTACACACTTGCTTCTTCAGAAGCCACATTATGTGAGGAAAAACTCTCCTTGGAAGCACTTCTGTAGCATTTACATGGATATCACTGATGTAGAAAGGTTGCACCATTTCAGAATGCTTTCCTGTAATATTTATCTAGCGTTTCCTTGACCATGTCTTTTTTTCTCTGTTTACCTTTTAAACCAAGCTACGCCTCAAGGTAAAAAGTACATGAATACCTGGAATGCACCAGGAAGGTAAGAGAAAGAACTTACCCTGATTCAATTTCTTAATATTGACTCAGTTTTTCCTCAAAAGTTTTCACTCCAAAACTATTTTCTGATTTCATCGCAAGGATTTGTTACTGTTTTTAACAAATTCTTTCTGCTCCTTGTTCTTGGCTCAAAAATCTTGTACTGAAGTAATTGGGTACATATGTATTAGCTGTATTTGGATTGTTTGTTTTTCATACAGCTAATTCTGCCTTTGGCATTGTTTCCCTCTTTATGCTTGTATGGCTTCCTTAGAACTTCTAAGCAAACAAATGATTTTCACCTTCGGAAAAGGCCTCAAATGATAAAATTATAAGGTGTAGTTCAAAGCTGTGCCCAATGTACCTATTCACAGGGATAAATCTCAGCCTGACATTACAGAAAGGTACAAAATAGTAAATGAATAATTATTATAATTATATTATATATAATATATATTATAATATAAATTAAATGTGAGCTCTGACCTTGCCACATGGAAGGCATGTTCTGCATTAATAATGAGAATTTAAAACTGATTCTGTTATTAGATTTTGTTTTGGTTTTATTTCTAGGCAAGATAAAGGATCTACTTAAATCACTATCGACTGTGTGTTCAGTTAGGAAATTCCCGTGCTACCCAAGACCAGGGTGAATGCAATCCAAGTCCAGAGACAGTGCACACCTGCTTATTCCTGTACACACATACATACATTGCCCTGAACATCCTGTTTATGAAGATATAGGTCCTGTATAACAGTGGCACATTCACAGTGGCAGTGTGCCTTCATAATGTGCTCCCCTGCCTCCTGTGACAGGAGGGGGTCTGTTCCTAGCCAAGTTTCTTTCTTGAGCATCACTTGAATTCTTATGTGATGTCGACGTTAAAGCTTCTCTGCTTTTGTGTAATGCTAACTGAAGTGAGGGCTGAGTATATTTGGACACCAGTGCAAAGAATAAGAGCATTAACCAAACTGACTTCAAATAGGTAACTGCTTGTAGGGTGTAAATCTGTAGTTTTAGGGAAGAAATACAAGGGTCCTTGAAGAAGAAAGAAGCCATTCAACTGAGACTAGGGATGCCTGCTGTAACCAATTCTACTGTGGAGTCAGATAAAGGGGAGAAGAGACAGAACATGGCCAGAGGTTCCTGTGAGGAAGACTCAAGGATGAAGTAAACGACCCCCAGGAGACCCTAATGGACTCAACACACATGCAATAATGGGTGGATTTATCGGGAAAGTAATGAATATGTAAACAGTTTCTTAGAAATACTACACATAATTAGGTATCAGCTGTGTATCCATCTCTCACCTTACCCTGTAAGGCACCTACATGTTTGGAGGACCTGTCCCTGTGCGTCTGGCGCTGTGAATAAAGAATATCGACTGAACAGGACAGACGGTTGGGTGAACTTTCTTGGTTTGTTACATTTGGACACCAGCGCAAAGCACTGGGTCGAGTACCCGAAACTCTCAGTGCCTCTTCCGTGTCCTGTATCCTACCCCGGGAGCTGCGAGAACCTCGTTTAACCAATCTGAGTGCTTTTGTATCAAATGCATATTTTCTGATTTCATCGCAAGGATTTGTTACTGTTTTTAACAAATTCTTTCTGCTCCTTGTTCTTGGCTCAAAAATCTTGTACTGAAGTAATTGGGTACATATGTATTAGCTGTATTTGGATTGTTTGTTTTTCATACAGCTAATTCTGCCTTTGGCATTGTTTCCCTCTTTATGCTTGTATGGCTTCCTTAGAACTTCTAAGCAAACAAATGATTTTCACCTTCGGAAAAGGCCTCAAATGATAAAATTATAAGGTGTAGTTCAAAGCTGTGCCCAATGTACCTATTCACAGGGATAAATCTCAGCCTGACATTACAGAAAGGTACAAAATAGTAAATGAATAATTATTATAATTAAATTATATATAATATATATTATAATATAAATTAAATGTGAGCTCTGACCTTGCCACATGGAAGGCATGTTCTGCATTAATAATGAGAATTTAAAACTGATTCTGTTATTAGATTTTGTTTTGGTTTTATTTCTAGGCAAGATAAAGGATCTACTTAAATCACTATCGACTGTGTGTTCAGTTAGGAAATTCCCGTGCTACCCAAGACCAGGGTGAATGCAATCCAAGTCCAGAGACAGTGCACACCTGCTTATTCCTGTACACACATACATACATTGCCCTGAACATCCTGTTTATGAAGATATAGGTCCTGTATAACAGTGGCACATTCACAGTGGCAGTGTGCCTTCATAATGTGCTCCCCTGCCTCCTGTGACAGGAGGGGGTCTGTTCCTAGCCAAGTTTCTTTCTTGAGCATCACTTGAATTCTTATGTGATGTCGACGTTAAAGCTTCTCTGCTTTTGTGTAATGCTAACTGAAGTGAGGGCTGAGTATATTTGGACACCAGTGCAAAGAATAAGAGCATTAACCAAACTGACTTCAAATAGGTAACTGCTTGTAGGGTGTAAATCTGTAGTTTTAGGGAAGAAATACAAGGGTCCTTGAAGAAGAAAGAAGCCATTCAACTGAGACTAGGGATGCCTGCTGTAACCAATTCTACTGTGGAGTCAGATAAAGGGGAGAAGAGACAGAACATGGCCAGAGGTTCCTGTGAGGAAGACTCAAGGATGAAGTAAACGACCCCCAGGAGACCCTAATGGACTCAACACACATGCAATAATGGGTGGATTTATCGGGAAAGTAATGAATATGTAAACAGTTTCTTAGAAATACTACACATAATTAGGTATCAGCTGTGTATCCATCTCTCACCTTACCCTGTAAGGCACCTACATGTTTGGAGGACCTGTCCCTGTGCGTCTGGCGCTGTGAATAAAGAATATCGACTGAACAGGACAGACGGTTGGGTGAACTTTCTTGGTTTGTTACATTTGGACACCAGCGCAAAGCACTGGGTCGAGTACCCGAAACTCTCAGTGCCTCTTCCGTGTCCTGTATCCTACCCCGGGAGCTGCGAGAACCTCGTTTAACCAATCTGAGTGCTTTTGTATCAAATGCAAACGCAGAACGAACACCCAAGTCAGGCAGGCTTGCGGAGGCGCGGCGGGCACCCTGACCGGTGGCCAATGCCCCGGCCTCCC